GTACTATGGGCCAAGATACAGTTTCGAAATGCAGTTCAGGCAATGTATACAACCCAGCTTCCTGGCCAGGTAGGGTGCCCGGAGTGCAATTGCAAACTGTATCTTGCCCCATAGTGCAATTATAACTTGTGTTTTTGTGACTCTACTGAAGCTACCCCCCAAAAAAAAAAAAAAAAGATTCTGCATTTCCGACCATAGATTACGTAGATGAAATGAAACAAGAAAGAAAGAAAAGAAAGAAAAGAAAGAAAAGAAAGAAAAGAAAGAAAAGAAAGAAAAATCAATAGACAGAGAAGTGGGGCCTTGCCCAGAGTCAATGTGGCAGCATCCTAATTGCCTCTCAGAGAAGAGGGGCCTTGCCCAGAGTCAATGTGGCGGCACCCTAATTGCCTCTCAGAAGAATATCTATGAGTTTGCCAGTTAAAAAAAGAAAAAAGAGCGTAATTCTGCTCTGAGTTCCTGTGGGACAGTCACTTGTGGACATATCTGAAGGCGGTCACCCTTTCTAAGAAAAAAGAAAAAAAAGACAAAAAAAAGGCCGAGTTGCAGAAACGTACGTCTCCGCTCTGTACCCACACAACCCCCTTCTAAATGCCACATGGAGCCTGCCTGCTGGGTCCTATGGTCCCATAGGCACCAGGAGGGAGGTCCCACTTACTGCCACTGGATTTGTAGATTATATTGACGGCCAACGAAAGATAAGGTAAGAAGAAGAAGAAGACGAAGAAGAAGAAGAAGAACTTCAAGAAGAAGAAGAAGAAGAAGAAGAAGAAGAAGAAGAAGAAGAAGAAGAAGATGATGATGATGATGAAGAATCCAGGCTCGCGCAGTGTATACCACAGGCAATGCTTTCGGTACGATACAGGTCCTGGCTCCATCACACAACACCCTACACACATTTGGATGCTTGCTGGACCAGGTGCATTCGGACGATTCCACCGCACAGCACTCTACGCGCATTTGGACGCCTTTGATGTTGGAACCGTCCGAATGCACCTGGCCCAGCAAGCGTCCAAATGCATGTAGAGTGCTCAGTGTTGTGTTGTGGAGGGAGGCCCACAGTCATGGTGAGGGAGAAAGGCAGTAGCTGCAGAATAAGCTCACATGTGATCCAATTTCTTGTCAGCCAGCCAGACAAAAAATGAAAAAAAAAAAAAAAAAAAAAAAAAAAGCAGATCTGCATGGTAGACAATCATTGGGATAACGTGTGAACCCTTTTTTTTTCTCTTTTTTAAGTTTTTTTTTAATTTCAAGTTTAGGTTGTTGTAGAGGCCAGATTCCGACCCACGGGATAACAGGTGAACCTACTACTTCTCTCCTCCTGACTTTTGCGAAACACAACGCACCCTCATCATGAAGGTATACCAGCTATCTTTCTGATAAAAAAAGTGTGGTCATGATGAGGCGTGTGTTGTGTTGGGGGGAAGACTGAAGAGGGTAGTGAGATCATGTCCCTCACAAGTGGGACCTTGTTTTTCTAGGTTTTTTTTTTGTTTGTTTTGTTTTTTTGGGAAGAATCATTATTATTATTATTATTTTTTTACAAATGAAAGGAGGCCGGGAATTCCTCACAAACAACGGGGCATCTAGTGTTCAGGCCTGAAATTTCTGAAATTAGGGTTTTGGGCTCAAATTTCATGTTTTTTTGGAATTTCAAGTTTTTGCGATATATGCATTTTGATAGGGTTGCCGTATATGAAATTTGGGGTTATTTGGAGTTTTAGAATTTGCGCTATTAAGATTTCTGAAATTTCTGAAATTGGTCGAGTTTTTTTTGGGCCAAATTTCATGGAAATGCACCTTTGGC